GGCTGCCCTCAGCCTGGGTGCGTCCAGGCCGGGCCCCGGCGCTCAGGTCTCCCACTTGTGGGTGTCCGGGCTGACCCCCCGGGGTGTGTCCCCTGCCCCCGCCACAGCTGCAACTGCAACTCCCAGCCCCCACCGCCCGTGAAGATCGCCGTGGCGGGGCGCCAGCAGTACCTCAGTGCCGTGCTGCGGCTGTTCGTGGAGCAGCTGTCCCACAAGACTCCCGACTGGCTCGGCTACATGCGCTTCCTCTCGTGATCCCGCTGGGTGAGGCGCCCGCGGCACAGCGGCACGGCTGGGCACCCTTCTCGGAGCCCAGTGGCTACGGCGTGGAGATTAGGCGGGAAGTCCTATGACTGTCCCTTATAGTCAGAGGGGCTGAAGGCAAGGCTGGAGTCCCCGCTGCAGTGGCCCACCTGGCCACTTGTCCCTCGGCCACTCAGAGCGGTGGGTGTGACACAGCCAGGCTCCTGCTGAGGCTGGGGTGGTGACTGTCCTTCGGTTATGGCCGTCCTGCTGTGAAGCTGGTCTCCCACTGCAGCTGCTGCCAGGAGCCAGGGCCCCAGTGCTGTCTGTGAGCCGTTGGCCGGGAGGCACTCGGGCAGCTTGTGGTGCAGGACTCAGCTAGTGCCCCTTCAGTGGGGCTTGACTGTCCGTAGGGGTGTCAGGACCATGGAAGGGGTTGTCTGGGTGGCGGCCAGGACAGCATGCTCCTTCGCTGCTGTGGACGAGGCTGCAGGCCACTCCAGGCCACAGTGACCACTGTCCCTTGGGCATGCAGGCTCCCATCCCGTGGCCAGGTACCTGGGCTCTGTCGACTACCGCTACAACAACTTCTTCCAGGACCTGGCCTGGAGAGACCTGTTCAACAGACTGGAGGCCCAGAGTGCTGGTGAGGCCGGGTGCCGGGGCAGGCGGTGCCCTGCGTGTCGAGACCGCTGTTCCCAGCAGGCCTCGGTTCACCCTCAGGGCTGGTGGGGGCCCTGCGGGAGACAGGTCGCCTCCCCAGCCCTAGCCCCAAGCTTGCTGGACCGTGCAGGACCTGTGTGGGGAGGGACTGCCCCGCCCCCACCTGCCCGCACCGTGGAGGGACTCGGGTCTGGCACGGTGCCTGGGACCCCACCCGCCCTGTGACCCTGCCCCCCCCGTGCAGCGCAGGACACCCTGGACATCGTGTCACGTGTCACCCAGTACATCGCAGGGGCCAACTGCGCCCACCAGCTACCCATCGCCGAAGCCATGCTGACCTATAAGCAGAAGAGGTAACCCCAGGCCCACGCCGCAGCCTCCCACCGCTGTCGCTCCCCTCTGGGCCTCCCACTGCTGCCGGCCTTGGCCAGGCCGGGGGCTGCAGCGGGAGCCTCCACCTGCCCCACGCCAGCCCCCACGAGCCTGCCGTGCCTCCCCTGTGTGCTCTGACATGTCCCCAGGCAGCGGCCGTGCGGGGGGCCGCGTCCTGCTGTAGCTGGAACGACCACCTTGTGCCCTCGCCTGCCCAGGTTGGGCAGTGCTCTGAACCTGGCCAGGGGCCTCGGCCAGTGGGGTGCAGCGTCCCTCCCAGTGTGATGGGCCTGGGCCTGGGTCCTCTCCCCCTGGGGCCCTGGGCAGGGCTCAAGCAGAGGCTGCCTTGGGGTTTCGAGAGACCAAAGGTCCCCCTCTTGGCCTCGGCTTAGGACAGGCTGCTCAGTGCAGGCAAGGAGACAGGCAGGCAGGCTTGCAGCCTCCTTCAGAGTCCCGGGGGGCCAGGGCTCCCCATCCAGGAGGGGCCCAGGGCAGGACCGCTCACAACCATTGCGGGGAAGGGAAGTGGCCACTCTTCTCTGACCTCGTTCGGCCTCTTCCCGGAGTCCAGGGCCCAGGAGCCCAAAGGGCCTGGCAGTCCCAGCCCTTCCTGCCGGAGGGCAGTGCCGACTAGCGGGACCTGCGTGCCACGTGAGGCCGGGCCCTCGCCTGCTCGCGGCTGCCCTGCTCACCCCGTGCATGGGGCCCGAGCTCTGACCTGTCTGTTCTCTCTCTTGGCGGCTTTCTGAAAAGGAAAAAGCACTTCCATTTTGACTTTACCTTAAGGTACGCTCCGGGCCTGTGCCCTGTCCTCTCTGTTCCCAGGCTGGTCTTTAGGGCTTGTTTAGCAGAGTCACCCCCAATCCACTGTCCCCTGATGCCCCGTCCCCAGCTGGGGGTCAGACCACCCCCCGGAGAACAGTGCCGTGGCTCCCTCAGGCCTGGTGTCAGAAGTGGCAGGCCGAGTCAGCAGGCAGCCAGGGTCGGGCCGGGGACCTCGCTGCTGCCCTTCCACCCTGAGGTGGGCGACTGCAGTCGGGCTGTGAGCCGCTGACCTCTGGCATTGGGCTCGGCCCTGGAGGAGGCGTTAATGCCCGCTCCACCTGACCAGCTCCCACAGAAGGTGTCCCGGGGAGTGGCCCGACCACAGAGACCCATGTGGGTAAATTCCTTCCCCCCCACTCGGCACCAGTGCGGCCTCGGCCTCCCCGGCATGATTTGCCCGCCATCATACGGTTTTGCTGTTCTGAGAAAAGCTGCCCCTCACCCCAGGGCATGGCCTTAGTCCCCCGGGCCCTGCTCGAAATGTAGCTGCCAAGGCTACCCACAGGGAGCTGCAGGGCTGGGGGCAGACAAGGGAGCCCAGCACCTGGCCCGCCCTGCTAAACAAGCCCCCCCGTGAGAGAAAGACCAGCCCCGCCCGCCCATCCTGGCACGCGGTTTGCCGCATGTGCTCTGCGCGGTCTCAGCTGTAGGCCAGGGCTCGGAATGCCGGCCTTCCCCCTTCTGCCCCCTGCCCTGCCCGGGACAGAGGTGACACCGGCGCCCCAGCAGGCAGGGCTGCCCTGGACTCAGGAGGAAGGTGGGAGCCCTAGGGAAGCCTGTGTAGTCCTGCCCTGCCCCTCCCATTTGCCTGCCAGAGGCTGCCTCCCAGAGGTGTGTCCCACCAGCCCGCCCTCCACACGGAGCCTGCCCGTGCATGGGTCAAGGGGCCAATGGGGTTCAGGCAGCTCCCGCAGGGCCGCCCTCAGACCAGTGTGCCGCAGCCCTGACTGGCCGCACAGTGCAGGCATTGGCAGCCCTTCCAGGACTTGGGTTGGAGGTTCAGGGGATGCCGGTGTCACCCGTCACCCCGGGCCGTGTCCAGTGCTGGATCTGCCTGCATGGCCCAGGTGCGCTTGCTTCCCGAGGCCGGCAGCGTCCCGCGTATGCGTCCTGTGTGTGTGTCCCGCGTCCTGCGTCCTGCGTCCTGCCAGGCGTGTGCCTTGAGCAGAGCATGCAGGGCTGGGGTGGGAGGCAGGCCTGTGGATGCGTCCCCACGCACAGCCCCGGGAGCCGCTTGTACCCATGGCCTGGGCTCCAGAGGATGGGGTGGTTGAGGTTTCCAAGCTCAGATCTGTCCAGCAGGACCCATGTGGCACGGCCCCTAGGGTGCTCCTGGCAAGGGTGGACAGAGCTGGGGGGACCCCAGAGCACACCTGGGGCTGCCATTGCTGTGGCCCCAGCGGGGCTGCTCCCAGCCTGCCCTGGAGAGCAGAGTGGGTGCTGGTCCCTGTGGTGTCGGCGGCTTCCCCACAGGCACCGGCCAGGCCTCCCGCGGGCTGCACTGGGCTGGGGCCCTGAACGTGCCTATGTGGGGAATGGGGCCTGTGGCCAGTGTGTCCTCTCAGGGCATGGGCAGAGGGGCGCCTCCTGCAGACCCACCTCGCTTGGCTGTGTGCTGGGCATGTCCTAGGCTGGCCTTGGTCGAGGGCTGCCCACTGGCTCATGGAGGTACTGTGGGGTACACCACAGACCTCAGACCCACGGGCTCTGGATATGGAACTGGTGCCCGAGCACTGCCCGGCTCACTCCCTGGGTGAGCTGTGCTGGACCACGAGGCCCAGGTAGGCTGGTCTGTGGGCAGCCCCTCACACTGCCCAGCGCGAGGGTATCGCAGCGGTGTGGTGTTTGGGTTGGTTCCCAGGAAGGCCCTCAACCTGCCCTGGTACCTCTGTGCACACATGGATGCCTGTACCTACAGGGCGGCTGCTCGCCGCCGTCAGGCCCCTGGCAGGGAGGTGGGGAGAAGAGGAAGGCTGGGGACGGCCCCAGGGACGGTCTGGCCACAGCGACCAGCAGGCACCTCGGCCCCTGCTGCCTGGGCCCGGTGAGGTCGGGTGGGGCGGGAAGGAGGGTCTTGGAGCCAACCCTGCCACGGGATCTTCCCAGCAGCCCCAGAGGAGGTGTCCTTCTGCAGAGCAGGCTCCTGGTCCCTAGCCCAGGCTGCTGTGTGCCCAGCAGGGGACGCCGACATGGTGCCCATCAGTGTGGGCCACCTGTGGTGGCAGAGGACAGACCTCTCTGGCTCCTCCTCAGCCCACACTTCCAGGACAAGGCGTGTCCCCAGCCAGCACAGGCTCTCACTTAGCACAGCTGGGCTGGGGCTCAGAACTGCCTGCCCGCTACACTGGAGGCGACCTGTTAGAAGGGGTGTGGGGACCAGCAGATGGCGGAATGGTGCGTCGCTGGATGCCCACACAGTCGACCCAGTGCCGACCCGGTAGCATAGAACACCGGGCGCGTGTGTGCGTGCCCAAACTCCAGGGGAATGGAGAAGGGGTGTGGCACGGCCATCCCCGTGGGAGATGAGCTCTTGCTCTGTCTCTGCATCTCTCACGAGCTCACACATCCTATAGCAAAAGTCTCTCCCTCAAAATGACAAAGAAGATGGATGTGTGCGCCTGGCCTCTGTAGCCCGCCCCTGGCCTGAGTCGGTGCTGGCCGTCCTGAAGGCAGCCTCCACGCCCTGGCCGGAGGCCCTAGACACAGGGGCATGTACAGCAAGCCCTCAGCTTCCCGTGTGAGGCTGTGGCCCGCTGCTTCCACTGCCAGCTGCAGGCCCTCTGGCCCTGGGGTCTCTGCGTGTCACAGGGAACCAGGAGTTGAGGCCCCAAGCCAGGCCAGGGTAGGCTGGGGCAGAACTGCCCATGGGCTCAGGCAGGGGTGTGGCACCTGCCCTCGATTGGTGCTGTGGGTAACACACAGGGCAGGCACTGAGGGCGTGTAACTGTCTGTTTCCATGCCCTCAGCCCTGACGAGGAGACCTCGCAGAAGTTCATTCCCTTTGTGGGGGTGAGTATGCGGCCGCCACTCGGGAAGTCAGTCGCCTGCTCCGGTCCCCAGACCAGGGTGTTGTGTTAATGGGCATATTCTAGAACCTTCCTCACAAGCAAGACCAAGCACTTGCCTTTACCCCCCACCTGAGGCAGACGGCCTCCTTCCTGCCTCTGCTCTGGGGGTGGGGCTCATTTGCAGGAGTGGGGACCCTGTAGGGGGAGGTGTCCCAGGAGGGGGATCTCAGCCTGCCATGGTGTGGGAGGGGGTGGGGACAGGAGAGTGTGTGTACCCATCCACTGAGGCCACGGGTGGCCTGGGGACTGGGGCTTTCAGTGCCTCCTGTCACCAGGGACCGAAGGCGCTCTTCCCAGCTCTGGCCCCAGGTGTGGTGTCTGCAGTGAGGCCACAAGGCAGCGGACCCACGGGCATGCGGGGTCGGGTGGGGTGCTCTTCCAGCCTTGGCTGCCCAAGCTCTGGACCTTCCGGCTGCATTGTGTCCGGGTCCGTGGTCAAGGTCTGGGCCACTCAAGGACTGCCCCTGGGAGGGGTGGACTGGGCCTGTCTGGAGTGTGACTCACAGCCGAGTGCCCTGCTCCTGGGCTGAGCCTCCCAGCGACGGCAGGCCGTGGCACCACCGGAGGCCCACGCAGGACTGTGGGCAGCACCGCCTCCCAGCCAGGCACTGGCCGGGCTGGGCTCCCTCGCAGTGTCCTGGTCCTGCTGGACGTCTGGGTGTGGCTGGTCACCTGGCCCCAGGACTGGTGCTGCCCAAGGGTAGTCACTCCTGCCAAGGTCAAGTATGGCCTGAGTCCCCAGATGGGACACTGGGGCCCACGCTGCCCCAGCTCCCATGTGGCCTGTGGCTGGGCAGCACCAACGCACAGGAGCCTGCCCGGGTCTGAGGTCTGAGGCTAGAGCCCGGTGGGGCCGGCCAGCACCCCACGACCGCCACCAGTCGCATCTGTCCCTCCTAGGTTGTCAAGGTTGGAATTGTGGAACCGTCCTCAGCCACGTCAGGTAACGGCCCACACAGCTGGCCGGCACAGCCCTCGGGACAGGCAGCCCCAGCACTGGGCGGCGCATCACCCTGTGTGCCACGACCACGCGCTCAGGGTGGGGCAGAAGCCAGGGCCGAGGCGGGGTAGGAGGGCCTCCTTGCAGGCACAGGCACTCCGGCCTGGCGCTGCCCTGCCTGCCTGTCCTGGGGGCTGCTCAGCCTTTGGCCATGCCCTGGCCAGAGGGGCTTGCTACTGACCTGTGACCCCTTCCTCAGGTGACTCAGACGACGCAGCCCCCTCGGGGTCTGGTGTGCTGTCCTCCACCCCCCCATCCTCGTCTCCAGCGGCCAAGGAGGCCTCGCCCACCCCGCCCTCCTCCCCCTCAGTGAGCGGAGGCCTGTCCTCGCCCAGGTAATGACCCCTCTCGTAGCCTCTTGTGCTGCCCCCACCCTGTGCAGACATGGCCGCCGTGGGAGGTGATGGTCAGAGTGCCGCAGGCAGGGGTGGGGGTCTTGGGGTCCTGCCAGCTGCCTCCTCCCACAGGGCCAGCGGGGGCCACCAGCAGGTGAGGACGGCCTCATGGTCCCCGTGTCTCAGGCTCTCGCCGGCACACGGGGGCATGCGGACGGGCCCGGGCAGTGCGCCTGGCCAGCTTAGGCAGTGTGGGGGCTGCCAGGCCACCCTGTACCTCTGGAGACAAACACTCCCAAACAAAGCCATGTGGGCCGCGGCCCTGCCACCATGAGCCTGGGCTGGGGGCTTGCATGACCCTGGCCCCTCATCTGGGTCCTTTGGCCTCTGGCTCAGCCAGGCCGCACCGCTGACCCTGGTTTATCCGGGCCTTCCAGGTCAGGAGTAGCGGCTGTCCTGCCCCCTGCCCATCTCTTATGCAGGACGTCCTCGGGTGGCCCAGGATGGCTCCTGTCAGGGCTGCAGGTGCAAACAGGGTCCTGAGAGGTCTCCCCGCAGGCCAGCATGCAGATGGCGCAGCAGCACCTCCTGCCAGCACCGGGCTGGGGCCACGGTGTGACCAGCCTCTGCCTTCCCAGCCAGGGCAGCAGCGCCGAGCTGATGGGTCTGCAGGTGGACTACTGGACGGCAGCAGCGCCCGCGGACAGGAAGAGGGACGCCGAGAAGAGGGACCTGCCCACCACCAAAAACACGCTCAAGTGCACTTTCCGGTCCCTCCAGGTCAGCAGGCTGCCCAGCAGCGGCGAGGCTGCGGCCACGCCCACCATGTCCATGACCGTGGTCACCAAGGAGAAGAACAAGAAGGGTGAGGGTGTGAGCAGGTGATGGTGAGGGCACCGGGGGGGCGCTGGGGGCCGGGGCTCCTCCCTGGAGCTGACGTGTGCAGGCTCCTGGCCGCGGGCCACACTGCCCACATCCTGCAGGAAGCCAGCGTCCCGGGAGCAGCCCCCTCCGCTCCCGCCGCCCTCTGTGCCGCCTCCCGGACCAAGGAGAAGAACAAGAAGGGTGAGGGTGTGAGCAGGTGATGGTGAGGGCACCGGGGGGGCGCTGGGGGCCGGGGCTCCTCCCTGGAGCTGACGTGTGCAGGCTCCTGGCCGCGGGCCACACTGCCCACATCCTGCAGGAAGCCAGCGTCCCGGGAGCAGCCCCCTCCGCTCCCGCCGCCCTCTGTGCCGCCTCCCGGCCGCATGCGGCTCAAGGGCTCAGGCAGCCCGGCCTGGGAGCAGTGCCGACCACGGGCCCTCTTCCCCCAGTCATGTTCCTGCCCAAGAAGACAAAGGACAAGGACGCGGAGTCCAGGAGCCAGCGCATCGAAGGCATCGGCCGCCTGATCTGCACGGCCAGGCACCAGCAGGACGTGCTGCGGGGTGAGCGAGGAGCCGCCGCGGGCCAGGCCCCACGCCCCTCCCCTGGGACACGCACACATCCAAGCCCCGAGTGCCTCTGCCTTCCCAGCTGCTTTGCCGATGCGCTGTGCGCGTTCCAAAGCGTTTCTAGAGAAGTGCCCTGTAAGGCAGGGCTCCTCAACCCCCGGGCTGCCCACCAGAGCCATCCCACCGGCCACACAGTGGAGGTGGGTGACAGGCACCCGGCCAGGCTTCATCCACACAGGAGCCACTGCCACTGCCAGTCTGCCGCTGGGCGCAGCCTCTGGGGGCGCACCCTGTCACGGACAAGCCCCGTCAGAGGTTGCTGCACAGCGGTGGGGTGGCACATGTGGGTCACCCTGGGCTGCCCCAGGCACCACCTTTCACGAGACCGTCCCAGGTACCGGGAAGGCTGGGGATGGCTGCTCTGAGCTCTGATGCCACCCTGAGCTCTCGGGGCTTCCCAAAATGAGCTCGAGTCCGACACCTTGTCGAGAGCCACCTGGTCCTCCCTGCGGGCGTGTGCTGACCCCATCCTGGCGCCTGTGGAGGGATAGTGGGGCCTGGTCCCCCGCCGTCCTGGCCAGCTGTGGAGGGTGGGCAGGACAGGACCTGGAGGCCCAGGGGGCGGGCGGCAGACCCTGAGGCGGCGTCTTCCGCAGTGCTCGTGGACGGCGTGGAGTGCAGCGACGTCAAGTTCTTCCAGCTGGCCGCCCAGTGGTCCTCCCACGTGAAACACTTCCCCATCTGCATCTTCGGGCACTCCAAGGCGGCCTTCTAACCCTGCCCGCCGGCCAGCGTGGACACATGGGCCCTCGTCCCGCCCGTGGGCACCGCGCAGGGGGGTCCGCGACATGTCCCAGCTCACTGTGCAGACAGACCTAACAGGCGCGACCTCAGTACACGTGTGCTCAAGCTTGGAAACCGACGGGGCGGTGTGCCACGCCGTGCCTGCTCTGCTTGGTAACCCTCGGTACGGCCGGAGGGCGGGTGGCCTCGGGAGCCACCCAGGCCCTCCGTGCATGAGGGCCCCCATGCAGGAGGCTCTTAGCGCTGTGTCTACCCTTCTTGGAAGCCAAGACTTTGCGCCCGCCTGGAGCCCGGGTCAGGCACTGGCCCACCAGGCTTGGTGGCCAGAGGCCGAGTGTCCTGGGGCACACCCAGTCTTCCATGGGAGTGTCCTAAGTTGCAGGCAGGTCAGGTCAGGCCGCGGAGCCCTGGACCCCACCCCAGACAGGCCCCCAGCACCACCCACTCGTGGTTCCAGTCAACTCCAGCCTTGCTAGGAGGTTTTATAGTAGCAGGTATTTTTAATGCTTTTAAATACATGTTATAATGTAGCCGCCAAACAGATGTTGCTCTTCTCCAGTCCCCAGGGCTGGGCGGAGCCCCTGCCAGCCCCAGCGGTCCCTCCACAGCTCCTAACACTGGACGCCCCACAGCTGCCGCCACCCCAGGCCCAGTAAGCACAGTGGCCTCAGCCTCAGGGTCCAGGTCAGGCCGAGGCCAGCACCCAACCAGCATACCCTGCTGTGTCACCCAGGCTGGGATTTGGGACTGTGATGAACGTGGGGATGGGGGACAAGCATGTAGCGTCACCTGCAGGAGTGGCTGTTGAGGGCTCAGTTAGGCTGACTGCACCAGAGGGGTGTGCACCGAGCAGAGGGGCAGCCAGGCAGCCCTGCAGGTCTGACCTTTCCAGGATAGCTCCCCAGAGCACCACTGGTAAGCAGGACCCCTGAGCGGTGGCCAGCAAGAGGGGTGCCCACCAGAGCACCAGGCAGGAGGGGGCCCACCTGAGCACCAGGCAGGAGAGCTCCCACCTGAGCACCAGGCAGGAGGGGGCCCACCTGAGCACCGGGCAGGAGGGGGCCCACCTGAGCACCTGGCAGGAGGGCCCCTTGGACGAGCTGTGTCCGCAGGTCCTGGGCTGTCCGGCGCTGTGCTCAGAAAACAGCACCCATGTAGGCATGCCAAGGTCCTGCCACCCATCACAGGACCCCCAGTGGGTGAGGGCACTGTGTCCCATGTAGTCGTCCTGTGCCCCAGTGGGAGGAGGGCCTGCCTGGCATGGCGAGGCCCTGGGCAAAGGCCTCCCAGGACAGCTGTGAGCAGGCCCTTCAGCCTCACTTGGGCCTGGGTGGGTGTGGAGGGCTCCGAGTCTGGCTTCAGGCCCTGCCCCTACCCTGGAACGGCCCTGGCCTAAGGGCCAGACTGAGGCAGCGGAGCTGAGAGCACCTACCCAGACCCTGCCAACCTGGAGGAAAGAGAGCTGAGGCCACCCTTGACTGGAGCAGGGTTTCCGCGCCGCCTGCCTGCCCAGCCTGCTGTGGGGCGGCCCTTCCTGCCCGCGCCCTGCCCCACCTGGTTGCAGGGACGCCCTCACTGGGCAGCTGGACCATCCTCTGTCCACCAGCCAGCAGGCTGTCCAGCACCCAGACTCCCGTGGCCCACCTGCCTCCTCACGCCCTGTGCTGGGGGGTCCTGCAGACACCCCTGGCTGCACTCACCCCTCTGCCTCAGCTTCTCCACCTTAACGTTACCTGGGATGGTTGTCCCCACCTACCTCACAGCGCTTTCCTAGACCTGGAGACACACGGTCCCTCACAGGCACGAGCCAAAGCCACCCAGCAGCCGGTGCTGCTGCCGTGGGGGTTGGCATGTGCCCTGTGGGATGTGGGAGGAGGTGGCCCCCTTGCAGCAGGGGGCTCAGCCTGGAGCTCAGAGTGTCAGCACCTGTCCTACCTCTGGGGCTCCAGTGGGGTGGGCAGCCCAGCCCACTGCTGCCCTCCTCCTTGGTCCCCTGGGCCGCCTCCGGCATGCGGGCCAGTGTCGTCATGGCCAGTGCCTGAGCTGGGGCTGCAGGGGCGGGGCACAGCCCAGCTGGGGGACTGCTCTCACTCCAGTGGGCACATGTGCCCCGTTCTGCCCTTCACCCGCAAAGGGCAGGGCCTCCCGGCTCCTGCCGCTGCCCCAGACCCGAGCGGCCGAGGGCTGAGAGCCGGCTCCCCACCCACAGCTGGGGCCAGCCCATGGTGTTGGGTTCTCAGCGGAAGGGCTGCTGGCCTCGGGATGGGAACAGGGCCGATGTAAATAGCTTCGGGACCCAGATTCTTGGACTGCTTCACGGTGCTGATGCCACTAATAAACCTGCAGGCACTCCGCCGCGGCCTGTCCTTCCTCTCCTGCCGCCAGGACCTTGCGCCGCGCCACGCCTGGGCCCTGAGCTTGAGCCAAAGGGGGGTCCCCGGAGCCAAGGCCTCTCCCCCAGGCAGGACCATGTCCAGCAGCCAGAGACACCCTCCCCCAGGCACAGTGCACCCCACGACTAAGGGTCACCCCAACCAGAGGACCCTGTCACCAGTCAGGGCCCCTCACACCCAGTCAAAGGTCTCCCCCACGAGCCAGTAAATTCCCCAAGACAAAGGGAAGACAAAGGGCCCCCTCCCATCCAGGGACTCACGGCTGGGCCCCCGATGCAGCGAGGCCAGCGCAGGCCTCGCGGGCCGGAAGTGAGGGCGAGGCCCCGCCCCCCAGGCAGACCCCTGGCCGGGCGCACGAGGGATCGCGGCCAGGCGACAGGGCGCGGTCTGGGCGCGTCGGGTGAGGTCACAGGGCTCGGGAGGAGAGCGTGCCGCGCAGGGTGGGCGGGGGCCAGCGCCCGGCCGGGCGTCCAGGGAGCCGTGG